TTTCCTTCTGCCTTGAAAGAGTCTTAAGATGGCCTCCCTGGATCACGTTGGATTACTACTGTCCGGTGTCTAACCTTCCCTTCTTAGGGATGGTTGTTGAAATAGTGGTGGGAAGATAATTACAGAGCACTCTAGAGAACACAGCTTATATGGATCTTTTTCTGTCAAAGTTCAGCCCTAGACATGGAACAGAAATGGTATTGGCTGCACTAGTAGATGACTCTTGTTGGGACTTGAGACCTAGAGGGGAGACTGCACCCTTTCTGGTCCTATTAGACTTCTCAGGGCTTTTGATACCATTGACCATGGTATTTTTCTGGACCACTTATTTGCATTCAGGACGAAGTGCTGTGTTTCAGTGGGTAGTTTCAGCCAATGATTGTAGGGAAGGAGAGGTTGGCTCTGTGACCTCCAATGTTTGGATTGCCATGGGATTTGATCCTCTCCCCACTACTTTTCAAAATGTACCTGAAGTCACTGAGAATTATTCTGTCACTTTAGGGTGTATTAACATCAATATGGGGATGATGCCCAATTACACAGCACCATCCTGGGTCACACTGTTGAAGTAGTTGAAGTCTTGTTCAATTGTCTAAAGGGTGTTAGGGTCTGGATAGAAATAAACAGGCTGAAGTTGAATCCAAGCAAGACAAAACTATTGTTGGTACATCAAGGTTCTGTTTCAACTCTGGTGTTGTTTCTCAGAGATGTGGCACTTCCCCTGACAGAGCAGTTCCATGACTTCAGGTTTTCTGGGATTCATGTCTAATGCTGGATAGACAGGTAGAAGCCATGGCCAGGAGGGCCTTTGCCCAGCTTTGGCAGAGGCACTAATTGCAGACCTGGAATGGGAGGGCCTAGCAATAGTAACTCATGCTCTCATCACTACCCAGCTGGAGTATTGCAATGCCTTCTGTGACCTGCTTTTAAAGACAATTTGGAAACTGTAATTGGTATAAAGTGCAGCAGCTCATATGCTATTACTAGAGGCCATGAACATATTACACCTGCAACACAAGCCCTATAGATAGGCTGCCAATAGATTTCCAAGTGCAGTTAAGGTGCTGGTTTTAACTTGTAAAGCCCTGTGTGGCTTGGTGCCAAGTACCTTCAGGACTACCTCCATCTAAAATTGACTTTCTGGTACAAGGACTACTGGGAGATCCAATGGGCTGAGGATGGGAGAAACTGGGAACATGGGAGGATAGCTCCCTTGTTGTAGACTACTTTATCAACAGAAATTAGGCTTGCTCCAACCTGTTTGCCTTTCAGAAGCAAATTCAAATAGAATTCTTCCAGAGGGCTATTCTAATTAGTTTAAATAAAGCTGGAGAACTGTTTATGTGCTCTGGTTTTAAGATTATTTATTTATTTATTCAATTTCTGTGGCTGCCCATTTCAAACAAGTGACTCTGGGCAGCGAACAATCATAAAATCAATTAAAACCAAGTACAAACACAATACAAAAAATAAATATATATAGCAGCCAAGAAAAATCAAAACAGTAGATGTTAATATAATCAGGAAACAGAGCCCTTAATATAATATAATGTGGTTTGATTGGTTATATTATTATTTGATTATTCCATCATGCTGCTTTTTCTTGCAAACCATCAGGAGTCATACGATTAAAATATAAATAAATACATTCCTGAGAGGGAGAATACCTAACATGTTCGGTGGAAGCAAAGACAGAATCTGTTAATTCTATTAGGAACACTAGCTTATTTCTGTACTTAGGAGAGCAGTTCTTTTTTTCTGCAGTGGTCTGGGAATGATATTGTCAGAAAGCAGTCTTTTTCTCCCATCAGCCCCATTACAACAGCTACATATTATGTTACACAAGCACAGTAGAAAACAAAGCTACCCACACAGGTCAGGGCTGTTTATCTGTGGGAAGCCACTCTATGAGATTAAGGATTAAAGTAAACATGGAGCATCGATGCACATGCCAGGTATGCTTCAGGCCACCTCTGTTCCATGTGTGCCCTCTCTTAGTGCAAATAAGCTGCTGCTTGGTTTGTGGCAAACCTCAACTATTTGACTTCAGTCCTGGAGAACTGTCAGACAGATGCAATATGAGATTACTCCTTTTTTCCTTTGAAAGTTTTCCCCACAGTGCTGCAAAAGACACCACATTCGATTGTTCATGATAAAAAAAGAGCTTCTTAACTTTTCCAAAGAAAATAATCTAAAAGAATTAAAAGAGCTCACCATTTGCTTAACGTACTCTTGTTTCATGTGATGAGGCTTTAGTTATCAAACCCAGACACAAATCATCCTTGTTAGTATTTTTTAAATGTTCCAGCCTTGGTGGGGTTGTATATATTCATTGGTCTGAATAATAGACACATTACATATTACACATTTCAGATTTCAAAAATATTTTATGAACAGAACAGATTTCAAAACAGATTTTATGTTCAAGTCTACAAGTACCTGGGAAGTACCTCTAAGTTAGTTATGGTGGAAGCGTGTCCAATACAACTGTACCACAACAGCTTATATATATAAGTTGGCATTCATTTTGGTGTTACAATAGGAAAGAAACTGCAGAAGTACAGAGGAAAGAATAGGGGAAAAAAACTACTGAAAAATTGATGAATGTGTTCTGGGATGTCTTTGGAAAAAGCAAAACTAGATTATTCAAATGAATCAGCACTTCACTGACTGGTAAATGACTCTTCGTTTAAATATTAAGCTATTTTAGTCATAGTTCTTTCCAAGCAGTTAGCCAGGCCAGAAGTACTATTTTATACAGATTGCCTCAACATTTTCACATAAAACTGTCTCATACTATCCTTACTCAGCATCAATCATCAAGAAGAGACATCACAGCAATTTCATAAAATATATGCCTTCTATTACAGGAGATTCCAGGTTCACTTCTGGTATCTCCAAGTAAAGGTGAGAGCACTTTCTCTTGTCCCAAACTTTGGAAAATTCAGCAAATTTGACTGGGTGATCAAAATCCTTAATCTCCTGGAATCTCTTTGTAGCTTTTTGAGGAAGACAACCATCAGATTTCAAAGAGAGCACATTCACAGTGGTTCACATGTGCACATTCACAAAATGGGTAACACTGAAAGATTTTAGGGAGAATGGTTAAAACTGAAGTTTCATTGGAGCGTTGCTGCTTACAGAGAATCTGATATAATATCAACAGTTTTGCTATCAGCTGTTGAAGTATATTTGATTTCATTATGTCTTGTTTGCAATTTTTTGTATTAAATATTATAGACAAAAGAAGTCTCATTTTTTTAAAGATCCAAAGCAAACAAAACTCTGCATCCTTGGACCTTTCTGTACTTGAGGAAATGTAACAGTCACCAGGAGAAAGAGATTATTTTCATGTTCTATTTTGGAGATTCCACAGGCATCACATTTGGCACTGTGTGAAATAATTTGCTGGACTTAAAATTCTCATAAGCATCTTATATACTTACATGCTCAGAAATAAGTTTTATCATGCTCAGTGGAATTTGCTAGCACGTAAATAAAAATAGCTTCTTAGGAAGAACCTTTTTATATTCTGTGTTGCTAATGAATAAAGGATTGAAAACATTTGCCATGCATAGAACCAGAAAGCAGTGGAAAACTGGAGCTGTTTTCTTAAGGTATGGTGACTGGCTAATTAAAAGTGTAGCCAGCCATTCCTGTTACTGCCAGGAACCTGTGCCAGTTTTTAAGGCATTGTTTCTCTCTGCCCACATGTAAGGAACACCCATGTAGTAACAGCTAGATTTCCCAGAATGAACCTGGCAAGGAATATGCACGGTACTTGGCTCTCCTAATCTTAACCTTTAAATGTTTTTTTAATTGCATAACTATTGCTGTATCATATGTTGCAATCTAAGTGAATGCAAAGTTAAAAAGCATATATCTTAGTTCCTAATTCTTTTTACAACATCTCCAAAAGGCTGAACAAATAGTTAGCAAAGCTGTGGGAAGAAGATAGGGCTGCTTCCCACAATGTCTTTTCTACAGACCAAGGATAAGGAAATGGTACTGTATTGATCACTGAGAAAAGGCACCATGACAGCATTGCAAAGCTTTGCACACCTGGGGAATCATAATGGGATATGGGTGGATATATTGAGGGAGCACAATTTTTCAGGAACTAACTCTTGACTGCTTTAAGACTTAGATTTCCTTTCCAATGTTTTTTACCTATATATTGGTCTTGGACAGATAGCTCTAACGTAGCAAAATGTCACCCTTCAGATGTTGTTGGACTGCAAGTCCTATGATCCCCCATCATTTACCCAATATGTTGTTGAAGCATATGTGGAGGGCAACACACTGCCAACCCTGGGAATGTCTTCAAATAGAGAACCCTCTCTGGTAAAGTAAGGCAAATAGTCATCCTACGCTCTAGTCTATATGACAATGAGGTAATTGACATCCTCAGAATGCCAGTTTTCACCTTCAAGCGATGTATAGCAACCCAGGGAAGTGAATCAGTTCTAATCTAGATCAGTTTGGGGAATCTATCTTTCCATCCGTTTTCATGAGTACTTTAAGTCTAAAACATTGCATGGAGGTTTTCCATTCAGAGCAATATCAGATTTATTTCTGCACAACCAATAAGTTGCTTCAATGTCTCAGCAATATTGTAGAGGTAATAACAAAACTTTTCAATAGTTAAAAAGAAATAGGTTAAGGTTAGGGTTAGCCAAGAAACCAGGGTTTGTGCACTATTCTGGATAATGTCTGTACTATCAATATGCCCGGCATAAATCAGTAACCATAATATGCATATGGAAGACTGAAATCATACACTGTTTAAGAAGCTGAGATAACAGCCTTTGAAGTGAAACCACGAAAATGTATCAGGTCTCTGTGGTTAGACCTCAGGTACCATCAGCTTTATCATCTCCACAGTGGCACCTCTGTGGCTGTTACACCACACACACAATCACTTTACAAGGAGCTAGGCTGAATAGGCCAACTACAGACTAAAAGAAGACAAACTAAGAGCCATTTCAAAATCCACAAGGGAGCATAGCTTTCCCTTGGTGTTATATAAACTCTATAATTATGTCTGTCAGCAAAATAATATTTTCCACAGATCATATAAAGAGAGCCAGCTGATTCAGTCAGGTTTGCTGAGAACAGCTTAGCAGCGTGAGATATATTTATGAGAATGAGGACTCTGTGTCTCTAAGCTAAAACAGTAACTACAGAAATCCTCCAGAAAAGAGCTGACTGATTAAAATCCCTGCTGTTAATAAAATAAACAAATTTTAATGATAGGTTCATGCAGCTTGTGGATTGTTTTGAAGGCCACAGTAGCCACAGCAATTGTAGGCTTTTGTAGGCCAACCCCATAAAAATGCCCTTCAGAAATGCTCAAATGTTTAATCATATAGTTCTGGCCTTTTCTTTGGAGCCCAGTATCACTAGCAGCACATACATATATGCTGCAGATTTTCCTTTAGATATTTTTTCCGAGTAGCAGACTTCACAGGACACAGAAATGTTCAGAATTTCATGGGGAAAATAATGGGAAGTATGATAAAAATATAGTAAAATAAATAATGAAAATAAATGAATACATCCCTGAAGAGTTTTCTGTGATCCTACAAATGGGAGGTGGCAAGGTAGTGGGTTATATACATACATACATACATACATACATACATACGTATGTATGTATGTATGTATGTATTGCACTTTGCACTTGCAGAATGTCCTCTCCAGTGAGACTTCCCCACTAGAATGAAGAATGCTAGGATTTGAATTCTAATAAATCACGTTTCCAAAATCTACTTTCTCCATTTACGTTGTACTACAGTTTTCCTTGTCCCCATCCCAAGGGCCCCAGATTAGTAAACTGTTTTATGTTGTGATAAATGTGTTTGTTTTGTACTTTTTGTATTTTTTAACCCTTTATAAAGTGGCTTGGAACCTACTGCACATTAAAAGGTGGCTATAACATTACAGAAATGGTTTGAAATAAGATTAGTTCAATTTATAATTTAAAAAGTAAGAAATCTTTGCATATTTAACCTTACCAAGTTTGTTTGTTTACACTTAGGAATCTTCAAAATCTCATATTTTACTGAATATGTGGACACGTACATGTAAGGAAAAATAGAGGCTGTTTCCAGTTAGAGATGCTAGCAAAATGGAGTCACAGATAAAAGTTGAAGAAAACAATTGTGCATCAGTATATATCACAAGAATACAAATATTGTTATTTCAATTTCAATTTTTATTACTTTTTTATTTTTTAAAGTACATGCTTGGCTTTTAAAATATGTTCATATAAGGAAGGACCTAGCAATACTTTCCTTTTTTTTAAATCAATGAAATATACTCCATCTAACATTAATTGTTGATGGATGGCTCAGTGCACCAGCCAATTACTTTGAACACTTTCATTGTTTCATTTCTTTACCTTGAGATGATTTTTCAGCCAGTTGAAAAATGAACCCTCCAGGGAACAAAGATTGAGGAAAGCCATCAGGAGATAACCTTAATCTGATCAGTGTTTTAAGTCACAACTTTATTTCGCTCGCTATTTATTCCTGACTTGGTCCATGCTGTTTAGTTCATGTCTAAGCGAGTTCATTCTTTTAATTTGCTGGATGACATCAAAGCATAAGAAGCCAGAATGGGCTAGGATATTTTTTTAAAAATATTTTGTTTGGGTAAAGTTTTCATCTAAAATAACTGTATAGTAGATAAGGTATAGACATTATTAAAAGCAAAATACTTTATTATCACACTCTTGCTAATATGAAGAACTTCTAGTGCTTGGTTTTTAAATAAGCACATGATTAAATCTCTCCCAACAAAACTAAGTGGTGAAGTACTTAACACCCTTGTGCCTTGCTCTGCATGATTGATCAATTGATTGATTGATTATGTGCTATTTAGTTGGTGTTGGCTCTTAGCAACAACATAGATTTTCTCCATGACAATCTATCCCTAGCTTGGTCCTTCGGGTTTTCCAACAGTGCACCAATTGTTGCTATAATTGAATCGATCAACTTTGCTGCTGGTCCTCTTCTTCTCTTTCCTTCACCTTTCTCAGCCTAGAAAGCTTTAGAGCTTTTTCCAGACAACTAGGTCTTCACATAATATGTCAGAAGTAGGATAATTTGAGCCTGTGAGCCCTACAAGGTAGACCACACAAGAAGCCAGTGTCATATAGGTCAAGACTACTTTTATTGCAACAGCTACAGTAACAAAATCTTGCAAATCTGAATGTGCTTCCTTCTCCTTCACTTTATATTAGTTTGAACTAGGGCAGGACTTTCTTGGTCTGGGCTCAAGTTCCGCTTATCTGACCATTGACTTGGTAGCGGCTCTTCATCCTGTCCTTCAAGGCCATTCCCTATGCCCTCTAAAAAGCCTGTCATTAGTGCTTGAGTGAGAACTCTGGATTGATTTGTTTGATGATCCACTTGTTTGTTTTCTTGGCTGTCCATGGTATTCTAAGGAGTCTCCTCAGACACTACAGCAAAAAAGCGTCGATACTTTGCCTGTCCTGCTTCTTCAAAGTCCAACTTTTGTTTCCATAGAGTATCACAGGGAATACCATAGCTTGTACAGTTCTGATCTTTGTAGGGATAGACACATCATGGCATTTGAATATCTTTTACATGGTCTTTGTGGCATTCTTCCTTCATCCATTGCAGGAACTCTTGCCACAATGAAGCAGCATAGCAGGAATTGGAGGGGTGCTATGCATGATACAAGATATTTATCGTGATGCACTGAACTGCCTGTTGCCTCATATATCTTCCATAGTGGGAAGAAGAAAGAGGATACCTGGAAATCCTTGAAACTGTATGGATGATATCAGGGTTAATCTCCTTTTACTGGTCAGGCAGGGCACTGCAGGGCATTTCAGGATACCTCACCCATAGTTTGTGCATACAGTGGAATATTTCAAATATGGGACAGACTTCATTGCTTTGGATTCTTTGCAGGTTTGTTTTCAGAGGGTAATATTCTGAAACAGTCTCACAGGAAAGGGAAGACATGTACAAAACAAAATATAAATACAACCAATAGCATTAGGTAATAGGTTAGAAGCTAAATTTAATAAATTTAAGAAATAATTTTAAAGTCCAGTGGGCTTTGAGCAGCCTCTGCAGTGCTCCACTGATTCCATGTCATTACCTGCAGAGGACAAGTCCTTAGCCAGCAGAGTCAGCATTAGAAGCAAGAAGTCCACGGCTGGTCACCTGGTGTACATTAACCAATGTTATCGTTTTTCCTTAGGCCTGGATGGCAGGTTTGCATAGCCAGGGATTTGCCACATTTCAGAAGCAAGTAATGATAATAAGGCTACCAGATTTGGATTCCAAAAATCCAAATGACCACAGGACGGCAGCAAAGAGTTAGTATTATTTATATAAAACAATGTATATAATTTACATAAAGATGCACACAGCAATGAAAAGAGGCTATTCATATGTCTTGGGCCAAATTTTAT